GAAAGAAAGAAAGAAAGAAAGAAAGAAAGAAAGAAAGAAAGAAAGAAAGAAAGAAAGAAAGAAAGAAAGAAAGAAAGAAAGAAAGAAAGAGAAAGAAAGAAAAATGCTGGGAATATCTTCCTACTTCTGGAATTTTCTGGAACTATTCCTGCTAGACCCTCCAGTATAAGCTGGTCCCCTTCTGTGCATCAGGCATAACACTTATCACATCTTTGTGTCTTTCTGATCACATGTCTATCTTTTGTTCAACTGTTAGCTCCTTGAATGTGGGCCAAGAAAGGCAGCTGTAGAGCATTTAGTAGTGAATTTCCAGGGCTCTCAAGCCAGGATGCCTGGGTTTAAATTCTGGTTTCCATCACCTCTGATCTTAGTAACCCTGAGTGAGTTACTAGGTGACTAGGTCTACCTCATCTGTAGAATGGGCGTTAATAGTGGGATATTCTCATGGAGGACAGGGACCAAACAATGCATGGAAAAGCATCTAGAACAATACCTGTCCTTAGTGAACATTCAGTCGGTTCAGGTACTATTACTAATCATTTTTGTTCAGTTCCAATTGTATTTGTCTGCCACATGTCAAATAGTACATAACTTAATGCATTTCAAATGCTATGAAATGCTAATTGTATGAACAAAAGTGCAAATGGAATTAGAAAAGGGAGCCACCCATGTGGGCTGGGGAAAGAGGATTGAACAATTTGTAGCGTTTGAAGTGGGCTGCACTGGGTTGGTGGAGTGCGGGGAGATGGGGAGGGTTAATTCAGTAGGCATTCCTAGAAGGAACCCTGCTCTCCAAATGGGAAGCTATTTGGTAAAATTAGAAACTGAATGTGAAAATGACTAGCATTAAGCTGATTTTATCTCAAGGTAGCAGTAGACCTGCTACCAGTATTCCACTTCTCTCCTTCCCAGTGTCTGCTGAAGTGTTACTAAGTGTTTTGCTTTAGGAATATAATAGATTTTAATTATTGAATGATGCACTTGAAGAGAAAGCAGGAAGAAGTGGAGATTTTTTTTTCTGCAATTCTGGGGCATCTGTTTTGTGCTTTTTGGGGAAATTAACATTGCCACAGTCTCACAGCCACCCAAAAGTAATGGCATGGTGACTTAGAGATTGCCACCCGTTGGTCCCCTATGCCCCCACCCATGGTCATTTTGCTTTTTCTGAGTGATTTCTTCCTTTTGGAATTCACCTGTGTTGTCTTTTGGCAAACCAAAACCAGATTCAAAAAGCTGGGCTCTGCCCTGAGATTGTGCTAAAGAAGGGCTGCTTCATAATGAAGGGAGGAGTATTAATTTGGTTTTTTAAAGGATCTGCTTAGTGATTGAAGTCCACAATATTCTCTTTGAGGTTTTTATTCTCTTGTCGTTGAACAATCTTTCTTTGGCTGATAAAAGTAGATCATAGTAAGAGATGGGGGATTGCATTGTGAAATTTATCCTTTGTGTCTCACTCCCAGATCTGTGGCCTCTGGGGAAAGTCAGATCTGGGTCTGAGTCAGAATTCGGTCTCTTTGAGTGAGTGACCTAAGCCTGTGAAGCACCTTTTATTTTGAGCTTCTCTTTCCTCCTCTGTAAACAGATCATGACACCTGCTTTGAATATGGTTATGAGTTTCATGAAGAAGCAGTCCTGGAGACGCTCTGAGGCAGTGCCCCAGGGGCTTACTAGGTACTCAAGAAAAGCTTCTTGCCTTTTTCCCCCTATCCCAAAGTTCTTCACTTGCTTTACTGCTTCAAAATTTAATGAGGCCATTGAATTGACCTCAAATCCACCTGCCTATCCCATTCCCAATTGGGCTGGTGATGGGCAGAGAAGATTTGCTCTGTATCCAAGGCTGTGGTGCAAGGGTGTGTGTGTGTGTGTGTGTGTGTGTGTGTGTGTGTGTGTGTGTGTGTGTGTTTTCCACTCCATTCATTTCTGGATTTTGAGATATTAGAATGTATAATTGATTTTCACTTGTTCATCTAAGGTGGCATAAAATCTATAAAATTGAGAGAAAATACTTTGTCAATATAAAATAGGTATATTACATACTATATATATATATATTTTTATAGTACTGAGGATTGAACTCAGTGCTGCAGTACCACTGAGCTACATCCTCATCCCTTTTAAAAATTTTCTAAAAATTTTGAGACAAGGTCTCACTAAGTTACTTAGGGCCTTGAACTTGTGATCCTGCTGCTTTAGCCTTCAGAGTCACTGGGCTTATGCACCATGTTAAGAAAAACATCTGTTGGAGCATTTTCACTTTAGAACCATTTCTTAATGTTTCAGCCTTCACACTAAGAGAGGTGTTTGTGGGGAGGAAGAAAGTGCATTTGGCCTGTTGAAGACCATGTTCAATTCCAGCTGCTCACGAGCTGTGTGATCTTGGGCTTATTACTTACTCTCTAAATTTGTTTTTCCACTTGAAAAAGGGGAATCATTATAATTGCTCACAGAGTTGTGGCAAATGACATTCTACAGCAGAGTTTGACCTACTTTTCCACTTGTGCCTAATTTGGGCCAATTTCCTCAGGATATAGGGATCTGGGATCATGGGAAGAGTCTGGAGGAGGTACCTCTGACTTTTCCAGCTGGTCCCTTTTCTGGGGGTGGTTTGCCCATTGCCCAGGTGGCATCAGTCCTTTCATGTTGGCTGGAGGGATAGGAGACAACAGCACCCAAGGGGACTGATGTCATGGCTTTGGGAAGGGCAGGGGGAGGGTAGAAGGTCAGCTGGGGCAAAGCTGAGCCTTCGAGGGCAGGAGGAGGTAAGTCAGGCAGAGGAAGGTCATCAAGGACAGGTGCTTTGGTCATCTTCAGTTGCTCACAGGCCCTGTTTCTTTTCTTGTGGGTAGAGGCGGGTACCAGGAGGACAGAGGCTGCAGAGGAGTGGAGTGCCCTGGAGGAAACTGGGAAGCAAACTGAGGGTGCAGGTGAGCAAGGTAAGCTATGCTGAGCAACAGAGGAGGTTCTAAATCCTCCAGATGTTCTCGCGCCAGCTGAAGGGAGCACAAAAGTGACAAGCACTCAGTCCTCACAAAATGATGTCCTGATGCCGACTGCGCGTTGCCAAGAAATGATTTGTGTCTGGCCCTCCTGAACCTCAGTCCCCAGCCCCTGGTGCCGGACCAGCAGCATCTTACCTGTTTCCTAAGCATTTCCAGTTCCCAAGCCCTAGCCAGGGAGTGAGCTCTGGTGTCCTTCCTGCAGGCATCTGGCCACACAGAAGGCCTCAGGGAGGGACTCTGGTGGCTCTTTTCAAGGGAAGATTCTCAGAAAATATGGCTCATCTCTGTGGCCTCACGGCTGATCATGCCATGATTTCTGGACATAATTCCTGCTCCTGTGGTCACCTCCTTTGCTCCTTGGCACTTCTGCCTGATCAGTGGACATGCACTTTGGAGAAAGCTCCCTGCTTGCGTATCACCTTTCACTTCTCCTCCTCCCTGGCACTCCCTTCTGCTGCGTTTCTGTGAAGTGATGGACCTGAGTTGGGTGGCTGAGTTCCCCTAACATGCTGGCACCCCACCCCCGCGGTGCTGGCTGTAAGCACAGCTGTGTGTATGCACTGGCATTGGGTGAGCTCCCTCACAGGAGGGAGTTGGGGTGGGAAGAGCCTGTGTTTTCTCGAATGAAGTTCCTGATGCTGTGGAATAAGGTGGTTGGAGGGAGGGGGAGACCATTTGTTTTCATCACACTCAGAAGGGGATTTGGTTTGGATGCTCAACTCGGGATTCACAAGTTAACCCTAGACGTGGGGCCTGGTGTCTGTTGAAGATTGCCAGAGTCAAGCCTCCCACTACAATTCCTCTCCTCTTGTTTATGCTTAAGGAGCATGGGACCATCAAAACTTCTAAAGGAATGGTCTTCTGAAACTCCAGTGTTTTAAAGCAAGTTAATGAAGTGGAACACATTGGAAATAATGTGGGCAGAAAGAAGTTCTGGAGCCAGAACTGCACTAACTAGTTTCAATCATTGGGGTGATCTATTCTGACCACATCCCTTTACCATAGGTCTTCCCATCTGTCACAAGCTACTATGTCAAGTGATGTGCGCAAGCACATTGAAATGCGTAAGTGCAAACACCTGGTAGCAATGATGGTAACAGCAGCAACTGATTGTTTTATTTTTATTTTTGGTACCTATGATGGAACCTAGGGACACTTTAGCACTAAGCTACACTCCCAGTCCTTTCTTCATATTTTTATTTTGAGACAGAAACTTGCTAGCCCAGGTCACCTTGAACTTATCATCCCTCTGCCTCAGCTTCCTGAGTTGCTGTGATTGCAGGCCTGTGCCTTGACACCCGCCTGCTGCAGCTCATTTTTACTGAGTGGTTACTATGTGCCAGATACTGCTCTAAAACATCATCTGCACATGGAGTTTTTTAATCTTCACAAGAACTATAGGACAGTTGTTGTCAATAAAAAAACTGAGACAGAGCTCAAAATCATGCAGTTAATGAGCTGCCCCAGGATTTGACTCCAGAGGTCTGACTGCAGAGCTTGTGCTGTTCATTTAGATTTTTTTCCACATCAACAGGAGCGTGGGTAGAAAGGGTGGAAGGTAAATGACACGAATGTGGTTAAGACGGAAGTGATACTAAACAAGCCAGCAAACAAAAAAAAAAGAGCCCTATCCCTTTCTCTCATGGCTTTTTATCACTCCAGAGGAGACAAGGAGACAAGTGTAAATGTTATCTCCTTCAGGAAAATGTGCACTGGACTAATGGCTCCCATGCTGGGTTCCACCCTAGTCCTGAACTTCTCTCTGTCTTAGCAGTGCATTTTATGATTTTTTATTCTTTTGATTTTTAATTGATGCATTATAATTATACAAAATAGTGGGATTCATTATGCTACACTCACACATGCATATACATAATATGATCATTCCCTAGTACCTCCCCTTTCCCACCTCATTCCCCTCCCCCCACCTGTCTGTTCTGTCTTTTTATCTTCCTTCTGTTGTTATTATTATTGTTTGAAGTAGTGCATTTTATATATATGTGAATCATTGTGGTATATTCATATGTGGTCATGGTGTAATTTAATAGATTTCATTTCACAACACTTCCCCATGGCCTCCCTTCTTCCCTTCCTCTTGATTCTGATCCCCTTCCTCAGTTCTTTGGACTCCTATCTATTTTCATGAGATACCTATTTTTTGTCCTTGTTTTGTCTTTCTAGCTTCTGCATATGAGAGAAAACATTTGACCCCTGACTTTTTTAATTTGCTTGTTTCACTGGTGTTTTCCAATTCCATCCATTTGCCAGAAAATGATATAGTTCTATTCTTCTTCTTTTTAAAAGTTAATCAATTATTTTGTTCTAATTTGTTCTACACAACAGCAGAATTCATTTCAATTCATAATACACATATGGAGCATGATATTTTTTATTCCTCTGGTTATATGCAAAGTAGAGTCACCCCATTCGTGTCCTCATATGTGTACCTAGGGTAATGATGTCCATCTCATTCCACCATCTTTCCTGCCCATGCCCCCTCCCTTCCCCTCCCTCTCCTTTGTCCTATCCAAAGTTCCTCCATTCCTCCCAGTCTCCTCTCACCCCCATTATGGATCAACATCCACTTATCAGAGAAAACATTGGGCCTTCGGTTTTCTGGGATTGGCTTACTTCACTTAGCATGATATTCTCCAGCTCCATACATTTACCTGAAGATGCCATGATTTCATTCTCTTTTAATTCTGAATAATATTCCATTGTGGGGGGAAAGGGCACACTCATACATTGCTGGTGGGACTGCAAATTGGCACAATCAATCTGGAAAGCAGTATGGAGATTCCTTGGAACCCCTATTCTACCCAACTATCCCACTCCTTGGTCTATACCCAAAGGACTTAAAAACAGCATACTACATTGATGCCGCCACATCAATGTTTATAGCAGCACAATTCACAATAGCTAAATTGTGGAACCAACCTAGATGTCCTTCAGTAGATGAATGGATAAAGTTCTCTTCTTCTTTGTAGAGTCTAAACTCCATTGTTTATATATACATCTCATTTTCATTATCCATTCATTTGTTGATGGGCGTCTAGGCTACTGTGAATTGTGAGCACCGTGTTAGATTATTATCTATTCATGGGTAGGTGGACCCATCTAGACTTTGAGCTGCCTGAAGGCAGGGTTGAAGGCTTTGATTCTGCCTAGCCCCAGCAGGTTTACTTGGAGCTTGGATGCTGGGCCTCTGGATACAGGTGATGTTTTCTCCCCTTCTTTCTTCCCTCTCAATCTTTCCAGATATCTGGATCTCCTTCCTATTTGCTCAGGACAGTCCTTATTGAGAGGCCTTAGGGGTCCATCTGGGTACCAGTGAAACAGCTCTGTGGTCCTCTGAGGGGCTACTCACTTCAGGGTGAATCATCTCCAAATGCATGAGGTTTTCTCATTTGCATTTCTGCAGCAGGAAGCTGATAGTGGTCATTGATGAGGGCCTATCATACTAGGGTTGGACCAGGCCCCTCTGAGGTGCTTGGGAGGATGGGGTAGAAGAGAGATTTGCAAGGGCTCCCTCCACCAGGGACGAAAACTGCCAGGGCAGCAAACCTCAAGGAACAGTTCTGTCTTCTGGGTGGAGGGGATGGGAAAGAAATGGGGCTACCTGTAGTCTCTAGCAGGACCCATTTCCTCATGGCTTATTTATCTCCTTGCACTTTATTCAAAGAGGCGGAGGTTGAAAAAAGTCAGAGTGAGTGGGAGGGCTGTTAGCTGAGGGCAATTGCTACTCACATCCTCTCAGCAGATACAGAGGCCACCTTGCATGGCAGGTGGAGCCCAGGGAAGGAGTCAGACTGGTCTCCTCTGAGCATGCACACCCATCTTACTAGAGCTTACCTCAGTTTCTTTCTGTGTAAAATGGGGAATTGTGGTGAGGATCAAATGTGATTCTATAGTTAGAAGAGTTCGGCACAGTGGACAGTGTAGGGAAGTTCAAACTTTCTCTCTGAAGGTTAGATATTTGAGTCTGCTGCAATAAAATGACAATAGGTGGACCGACAGGAGAAAACCAAAACAAACATTTGATCATAGTTTTATATGACACAGAAGCCTTCAGGCTGAAGATGGAAAGACACAGAGTGAACTCTCCATTTTTGTGTGTAAGTTGGTTGCCGTGTAGACAGCCGTGCAGAAACATGATTGGACAAGTAGGATGATCTAATGGTAGTGACCAGGGAAGGAAACCCAGCACGGACTATCTGTCCAGATTCTTCTTGGCCTGACTGTACAGAATTCCTTCCTTCCTGGTGTGGGGCAGGACTCTCTGGAATGAGAGTCTTGTGACCTACTATCAGACAAGTCAGGTCAGAGCATCTCTTCATGACCAACTCTTTTATAAAAAGGCTGGAGAAAGAGTAATATTTTTAGGTTTTATGGCTTGCTATGGGGGAAAGGGGGCTCTGGTTTCTATGGCCCATTTTGGGAAAGAGAAATTGGATTCTGTGACTTGCCTTGAGGGAGAATGAGGGCTGGAGAAAGTTGGAGAGAAGCAAAGCTTCTCGTGATTTACTTGGAGGTGTTTTTTTCCCCACACTGGAATGCAATATGGACCCAACGAACATGAATTGACAATAAAAACTCCAGAAGGATCTACTGGCTCTTCTGTTACTTCTTTCAATCTAACCTCTGAACTAATACTTCACCTTGGCCCTCTTCTGTTTCTTATTCTTTCCAACATGGAGTCTTGCAAACTGCCGTTTGCTTTTGTTGACGCACATTTCGAGTTAATTCCATGAGCATGTGCTGACTGCAGGCTACAGGCAAATGACTTTGAAATCCGAGGCAGAACTGATGAAGCCAAGAGAAAACCAACTCACCTCCTCTTCTCCCATTTGCTCTTTGCTGGCTTGAGAGGCATTGTGCTAAAAATTTGGTTTCCCAATGTATGTTTAAGAATTTATCATAACGAAAAAAGTACA